GAGGCTGGGGGTGTTGGTTGTGACCCATCTGATCTGCACTGCTTGCAGGCAGCCCTGGACTTTGTGGTGGAGGAGGACCTGAAGGCGCACCTGACGTGCTGGTACATTCAGAAATACGTCAAGGAGAACCCTCTGCCGCAGTACCTGGAACATTTGCAGCCTTAAGGCAGGACTGCTCCCTCACCAGCACACCTGGCCCTGACTGTTCAAGGCGGCCTTGGCTTCTCTGCAGTCTCAGGAACCCCCTTCCCACACTGGCAATTCCCGGTTTTTTAGCGTGTCCATGCGGTGTGTGAGTGTGGGCACCACCTCCTCCTCCTCTGTGCCCACGTGTGAGCATGGCCACAGCCCCTGGGCCAGGCTGCTCTGGGCACACAGGGTGCCCACCAGTGCTTTTCCCAAGCCAGGGGATAGAAGAGGGTGAACTTTCCACCAAACTCCATCACAAGGCCAGGGCATGACTTGTTCTGCACCTCATCCTCTCCCCCCTGCTTGGCAACAGCTCTGAACTTGCTGGGGGATGTTGGTTAGGGCTGCTCATGGGCTACCAGCCCCCCCTTGCTCCTGGCAGCTGGGGAGATGCTGTGGATTCAGCTTTGTGGGACAGAGGGAGGTGCTGGAGGAGCCCCAGCCCTGTGTCAGGCTCATCCCCTGCAGCACCTGGTGGGCACCAGGCCATGTCCAAGGCCACCTGCAGTACATACCAGAACGTGTGGACCATGGTGGCACCTCAGGGGCTTTGCTGCCCTGGCTGTGGAGACACTGGGATGGTGACACCCTCGAGCCTGGAGACAAGAGCCGTGTGAGGAGTGGACTTGGACTGCAGAGGCAGTGGCAGAGTCTGTGCAGAGGAAGAAACGTGGCTGAGTTGCAGATGCTGCTCCCTGGAGATGCCAGCTCCTGCCCAGCTTGTGTACACAACCCTGAAGTGGCATCCCAGAGGGTCATGGATGGTTATTCCTGTCTCCCTGCCCTTGGTGTGGACACAGCCTGCTCGGGAGAAGAGACCAGCCCCACAGCCAGCCTTGGCCTGAGCAGTGAGGGACATCCCAGGGCACCAGAGGGGTTTCCTGCAGCTGAAGAGGAAGGCTCCCTCCATCTCCCTCTCCTCCATCTCTGCATCCCTGTCAGTGCCCCAGATCAGCCCCACCAGGACATCCTGAGAGCAGCAGGGTGAGGCCTCCAGGACCTGCTCCTGGCCCATCTCCAGGGTTCAGTGCTAGAGGTGCTGCATCCCTGTGGATTCCAATGGCTCCTCCTTACAGCCTTTGGGAAGAAGCCCTGGCTCATGGCATTACCTGTCTGCTCAGGGCCCCCTCACAGCTCCAAGCTCAGGGCACTGGCAGCATCGTGGGGACCTTGGCCAGCAGCAGGAACACCCTCATTTCGTGCTCTTCCCTCGGTGGATGATGATTCTGTAGCACAACCCAGCATTGCCACCCTCAGACGTGGAGGTGACACCACGATGGCAGGGCACTCCAGCTTGCTGCCAGTCCTGCCTTGCCTGCATTTTCCAGGGCCTGAGCTACACCTCAGAGCATCTCACACTGAGCTCTCAGGATTTTGGAGTGTCCCAAGGCAGAGCTGTGGTGAGGGAGAGATGTTTTCAACACTCCCAACCCTGAGCAGCCCCTGGGGGCTGCAGCCAGGCAGGACATGGAGAACCTCTCACCTGGAGACCAAACCCAGGCCTTGCTTAGCTCAGCAGGGACTAAAGTTTACAATCTGTGCCACGGAGTGACTGAAGCCCCAGGTGAGAGGCAGCTCAGCCCTTTCCCAGAGCCCAGCACAAAATCCATGGCAGCAAAGGCAAAAACTCCTACAAACTTCTCTCCTGGCTGGGGTGGCCAGAGATGGAGACCCTGTGCCAGGATTTCAGCCTGAGCTGTCCCTGGCCAGCAGCTCGAGGGGAACCCTTGCTGCCTGCCCGTGCTTTTGGGCTGCCCATCACCAGCACAGCACAGCCAAGCCCTCTCAGGCTTCCAGAACTCCCAACCTCCATCCCTGCCCTGCACACTGCAGGCTGTGAGACCCCTGCCCGTGCCCACCACCTGTGCCAGGGGGCAGAGCCACCTCTGCCCTGGGCTGCTCAGGAAAGGCTTCAAGCTCAGCCCTGCCTCTGCTTCATTTCTGCCCTCCTGCTGCTTATTTCACCCAGGCTGTGACCTTTAGGGTGGCTTCGAGGGACTGGGAAAGGGTGACAGGTCACAAACTAAAGGGGCTCAAGAAGAAACGTGGGCTGCTAAATGTTCCTTCTTTAACATGCACAACACACTTCAACACATAGTTACAGGAGCAAGGCTGGCTCTGGTACTGCTGTGATGGCTGAACCATCCCTCCTCTTGATTCCAAGGTGAAGCTGAGCTGTTTTGTCCCCTGGAAGCCAAGATCAGGCACTTGTGTCTGTGCCACAGCCGGGCTGGGGGCGATGCTTGAGCTCTGTCCTGCTTTAGTGCTCATTTCCACTGGGTGCAGTCTCCAGCAGCCCCCTGATGTGTCAGCTCAGGGGAGGGTGTGCTGTGCTCACACTCTGGGCAGAGCCCCATGCCCAGCCTGGCTCTGGAGCCCCTGTGCTGCTCTGGCAGGAACCTCGAGCTTCCCGGCGCTGGATCCCCGCAGCGATCGCTGCCTTAACTCAGCACAGCTCCTGGTTCTGCTGCTGCTTCCTTCGAGGTGCTACAACCCCCTGGTGTCTGAGCTGGCAGAGACCTGTGCCAGTGGCTGTGCCAACCATTTCTCTACTGTGTCCCTGCTCTGTCCCAGCCTCCCCTCCTCCTCGATGCCAGTGAATAGCAATACCCGCAGCTCACCAGCGATGAGCCCACGGTGCTCCTGTGACCCTGCATGGCTGGGTGGGACCTGCCTGGGGGTCCCTCGGTGCTGGGTAACCCTTCCCTGCCTCCCCACCAGCTGCCTTTTCCCAGCTGGTCTCTGCAGAAAGGAGCTTGGAGTCCTGTGCTGCCCCTTGGTGCTGATTAAGCCTGGAGGAGTTTGGGATTTTGGACTCTCCCCGGGCAACAGGAGTGTGGAAGTGGTTTGGTTGAATACTGAGCTCCCCAAACCCGTTTGAACTACAGACCTGTGGTGGGTGGGGGAATGCAGGTGGCTGTCAAACCTGCTTCCACAGCCCCCAACTTGAAACACCCCCTCCCTCATCCGCTCTCCAGCGTTGTCTTCCTCTGTCCAAGGTTTCCGTTCTGTTGGATTCGGTGGTTACGATGTGCCTTTCCTTCTCAGGACCTGTTACAAACGACCTTTCTGCTCTTGTTTAACATTTATTTTGATCCCTCCCCCTGTCATACTATAAAACATGAACATAATGCATGGAATACAATACAATAAAAGTGTGGCTTAACTGAGCTGCAGTGGCTGTGCTGTGCTGGGGGGACCACATGCTCCCACTGCAAAGGATCAGTAGGTAAGGGGTGAAAGGATTGTGTTTTATTTGAGATCACAGGGCTGGCTGACCTGGTGGTGACTGTGCAGAGCTCAGGGTGAGCAGGATCACAACTGGTTCCTCTCCTTTGCCAGCTGATCCAGCCCTGCTCACCTTCACCATTCCTCCTTGGGATTTCAGGCCAGTCTTTGGGAGTTGTCCTGCAAATGAGCAGACACTCAGTGTTTGTGTCCACTGCTTTAAGATGGATATATATCCATTTGCTGTGCTTGTCCAGAGCAAGGTGGGCAGGCAGGTGACTCAGAGGGACACAAGGCACTTCCCTCCTGGAGCCAGCACTCCCCAGGGCTGGGAGCACAGCCTGGGCACTCAGGATCCTCGCAGGGCATTTGTGTCAATTCCCAGCACTATGAGAAGGCTGCAGAGGCTGAGTTTGGATAACTCAGATTGCCAGGAAGGTTGGTGTGGGGAGCAGTTATGATTTGATCCAGCGTGACAAGCTGGCCCTGGGCTGCAGCAGGAGCGTGGGGTTTGCTGCTCCCGAGGGACAGCACGGCCGGTTGGGATCTGTGGCCGGGCTGTTGCTGGTAACACACTCTGTTTACATTCCACATTCCACACAGTCCGTGCTCCGGCCTGTCCCAGCCCTGCTGCACGTTCTGCCGGGCTGGGCACGCTTCCCAAACACCTCCTTGTTCCCGTGAATGCAGCCTTCACCTCCCCCGAAACAGCTGCCCCCCAAAACACAGCTGGGAGGGCAGCGCTGGGGGAGGGCCTCGGCATGCCTGGGGAGGTGGAGGCAGCCAGGGGTTTGTTCTTGCAGTCACATTACATCACTTGGGAATAATGCTGTCAGAAAGAGGGGTTTTGTAGGAACAGGAGATGCAGAGGCAGCGCTGTCAGGCTGGAGGAGGGCTCTGAGAAAGGAGGGGGTGTGGAGCGAGGAGCTGCTGTTTGATAAGGAAAACTTAAAATTCCCGATAAAAAGGCTCCTCTTCTGGGAGGAATCCAGCCCGGAGCAAGAGGGAGCCCTGCAGAGGCTCAAGCACCCTGGAGAGACCATCCAAGCACAAAACCTTCTGATGGATCCACAGGAGCTGGGAAACCTCTGGCAGTACCAAAGCTACACTGCAATTCTAGAGAAGCGTTTGGTATTAAATGTTATATTGAATTAATGATCTTGAGGTCTTTTCCTAAGTGATTCAGTGATTTATTCCTCCTCAGAGATGCAGCAGGGGAGTCTCCCCATCCACTGCCCCTATTTCGAGATTGATTCAGGGGGCGAAATTCACCCCCAAACCGCACCGCCTCTCCTTCCAGGGAAGTGCTGCACAGGGGATCCTCCATCCCTTCTCTCTCCAGGGAAGGAGCCCCCTGGGTTTTTTGGATCAGGAGGCGATGCTGAACGGCGCCCACCCTGGGCAGCCACATTTCCTTACGGCGGGGCCGCGGGGCAGGCCGGGACTCGCCGCCGCGCTCCTCCCACGGGCTGGAGGATCCCGGGCGGCGGGGCTGAGCCGAGCCGAGCCCCGCGGAGCCGCTCCGCCGCCGGTGACGGGGCTGTGCCCGGGGGTCTCGCCGGGCTCTCACCGCGGTGCCCGCCTGGCCCCACCGCCCCCGTGCAGGGGACTACACGCCCCAGAGCCCCCCGCGGCCGTGCGGCGGCGCGAGGCACTGTGGGACTTGTAGTCCTTCCGCGGGCTCAGCCCCACCCCAAGCAGCGGCCGCCGCCGCCCCCACGCACTACATCTTCCGTCGGGCATTGCGGCGCGCCCGCGGGCCGCCGGCGGAGACATTTGCGAGGCGAGTGTCTCCAAGATGGCGGCGTGGGGAAGGAGGCGCGCGGGCCCCGGCAGCACCAACAGCGGCGGCGGCCGGGACAGGTGAGGGGCGGCCGGGCGGCGGCGAGGGGCGGCGGGGGCCGTGGGGCCGCACCACCCGCGGCGGCCCCGCGACCTCGCGGCAAGGGCGGGGGCGCCGCGAGGGGAGCGTGGCCGGGCGGGGCGGGCGCGGGACGCGGCCGCGCTGAGGCGCGGAGGGGCCGGGGGCGCTCGGCGGGGCCGGGCCCGGGGAAGGTCAGCGCGGCCCGCGGCGCGTCCGGGGCAGCGCTGCCCGCGGCGGGATGCGGCGCTGCGGGCCGGGGAGAGGAGGGCCGGCCCCGGGAGGCTCCTTCCGTCCACGGCTATTTTTAAAGGCGGGGAGGGAGCGGCGAGTCCTCCAGGGTGACCTCCTTCTGCCGGGGCCGCGGCGGGCACGGAGCTCGGGACCGCGCTCCGGCCTCTGCCGGCGCGGAGGAGCGGCCGGCACAGGCTGGAAATACCCACGGAGCAGCGGTGGAAGTTTGGGAATCGCAACTTTAAAATGGGGAAAAGAGACGGAGGGATATGTCACGGAATCAGTTAGGTTCGAAAGACCTCGGAGGTCATCGAGTCCAACCTGGGAGCGATCCCCACCCCGTCACCCCGAGCAGAGCGCTCAGTGCCACCCAGTCCTTCCTTAAACACCTCCAGGGACGGTGACTCCACCACCTCCCAGGGCTGCCCATTCCAGTGTTTAATCATCCTTTCTGTGAAGAAATCCTTCCAAATGTCAGTCCTGAACCTCCCCTGGCACAGCTTAAGACAGTGTCTGGTCGAGCTACTTTAAAACCTGTGTGCACAGCCCTCCACCTGCTGAAAATGTCTGGGTTTATCCCGCATTTCCTGACGTTGGCATTTTTCTGTTCTGCCCCAGGGCTGACTGATGTAACCGGCAGCTGCTGAAAGCTGCTGCAGTGTTCTCTGAGTTTTTCTTTGTCCTGCTGCCTCGCCTCGAAACTCTGATATCCCTCTTAATTAGAAACTCTGATATCCCCCTTCATTTGTCTCGTGGCTTTTGCTTCACTTTGTTCCCTTGCTGTGATCCAGCAGCGTTTGCTTTGATGCTGTTGAATCCACCCGGCCAAGGAGAGCCACAAGTAGCCCTGAAAATTCTGGCGCTATTGTGAACTACAGGAATGCTGCCTATGTTCAGGGAATTCAAAAGTAATTGAACTGGAAGGGCCAATGGAATTCCTGCATCAGCGTGGTTTAAATAAACAGCTAAGAATACCACAGTGGTAAAACTGTCTGCACCCAGGGCTGGCACTGCCCCAGCATGGGAGGTGTGGAGTTTTCATGTGGCAGACGTGTCCTCCCAGCAGAAGGGAAGAAACAGAATATGGAAAAGAACACTTAATAACTTCAATTATTCTTCCAGGGTGAAAATTGACGCAGACTTAAAAGTGAGTTGTTACTGTGTAACTTCATCTGTAACCTGTACAATAATCTAATTGTTGTTTGAGGTGATCTTTTTTTCAAAGCTGTGATTGCTCTTGATCTTATGATCAAAAATACTCCTAAACACGAGTCACTCCATGAACCTGCTGCTTTTGTTATTTTTCCTTTGCCAGTGAGAAGGGTATGGAAGAGAACAGAACAGCACATCCTCCCCTGAGCAGCGTTTCACAATCCCCATCAAAAGCTGGTGGTTCTTTAGGTGTCACCCTGGACAAACGTGGCAGGAGGAGAATTCCACGAGGTGTTGGGTGATGTCAGGGAGGTGCTGCTCCTTCCTGGCAGCTGCACAGCAGGAGCTGTGGATGACTGGGCCTCTGCCTGTGCCTCAGTGGCTGATCCCAAACCACCCCTGCCTGTCTTGCCAGGCTGCTGCAGCACCGGTTGAGCAAAGGCAGCGCTGACAGACCTGATGTCATCACATGATGACATCTGCTTTTTATAGGCTGAATACAGTTTTCTTACTCTGGGCAGGATTCTTGTCCAAAGACACGTTCCTTTGAACTGAATGTGCTGATCCAGTTCTCCTGGTAGCTGAGCTGTTTCAAGGAGGGTTTGTAGTTGTCAGCCAGCCGCTCTAAAAGGCATCTGTGTGTCGGAGGTGGTGTGAGGAGACTCAGTACTGAATCAAATCCTGTCTGCTACGAGAATACAGCAGCTTTCATTTAAAATTATTTAAAAAAAAAATAGACCAGCATATCTGTGGAGACTGAGTCCCTTCATAAGTGGCTTTATTGATACTGAGAAAGCTATAATTGGTTAAAAAGTGCTTTCCTTGCTAGGAGTGAATGTAAGGACATTAATTTCAAAGGATGTTGACTGTGAACTCCAGCTGGCTCTAGTGGTGAAATAATAATGTTAAACAAAATAACCAAAACCACTGAAGAGAACCAATTAAATATTTGTTTTTCTTCATTCTGGATAGACTCTTTAATGGAGCCTGTCTAAAGGGAATTGTTAATCTGTAGACCAAAACAACTTTTTCATACAGAACAGACACAGGATTGTGTGGGGTGTTTCTGTACAAAAGGCAGCCTGGTGCCCGCCAGAGCAGTGGACAGCATGTTGTTTGTTCCCCTGGGAGATGTTCTGACAAACTCTGGAAAGAGCAGCTTCCATGTCATCAGCACTGCCTGCACTGGTGCCCTCACAGAGCTCCCCTTTCGCTGCCTGCACTGCTCAGATTTCTGTGCTCTGCTTGCAGCAATGATTGACCTATTTCCATCAGCCTGGCTAATCATTAGTTGACTTAAAATTGACACCTCCTTGTTGTCTGGGGCTGGATTTGTTGTAATGGTCTGGTGATGTTTTCCTTAGAGTTCAGGTAATGTTGTCCCTCCCTAAGGCTGCTTGAAGAGCTTCCCAATGTTCTCCTGTCCTTTTTCCTATTTGAATTAAAGGTGCATCTTTTGAATTCAGGTCTTGCTTTATTGCCCTGCATTTCCTGTTCTTCCTCTGCTTGAGTGCCCTTCTTAAAGCCCCAGGCCTGACAGCCCTGGCTGAGGGCTTGAGCCTGGTGGCTTGTGGGGACCTTCAGCAGAGGAACAATTCTCCAGGTGTTTAGGGTGGGATGTGTTTGTGCTTTCTGTGCACCATATCCTGAGTAGAAACATCCACTGGGGAATATGACTGGGAGGTGGAATATTTCCACTGAGAATTAAAGCCAGGCCACAGCTCATTTCTTAATCTTGGAATTCAATTAAATTTCAGGAAGAATTTATGTTGGAGGGAGGGAAGTTTAGTGTTTGGATTTGTCAAGCCTTGACTCTGTTGACTTCCTCCAGCTTGCCTGAGATGCCAGCAATGCTCCCAGACATGCTCTGGCCATCTCTAATGTCCTTTTTCTGAGATCTTGGAGAGCCAGCACAAAACCCCTCTTGCACTGCTGAGCTGGGCTGTGTGTGCTGCTGGTGACCAAGTGTTATCACACTGCTGCAAGCTTCTTCTTTCTAATTTTTTTAACTACTTATCAAACTGGTCTCCATTTTCAGTTAATCTGATTGTTTGGTGCTCTGAGCAAAACTCTTGCCCAGGAGAGAAAACTTTGCCAAAACTTGACCTGCATGTTATGGGAGGGGCTCAAAAGAAGTTTTATTTTTGTCCAGAACTGTACTTGTGCAGCTTAAGATTATTTCCAAGTGTGATTTTGAGCATTTGCAGAACTGAGATAGTTGGATAAGTTGAAACCCTCACCAAAAGTCTGTCTGGCAGGTGCCATTAGGCTGAAGGCAGCAAACTCGGGAGGCTCAGTCCTTCTCCAGACTGCAGGTGGGCAGTGGTAGGAGGATGCTGAGGGTTCTCCCAGGATGTTTTCCCCTGCCTTGTTCCCATTGCTCTGTTCCTTTGTTTCTGCTTTTGCCACTTGGCACCTGGCAAAGCATGGAGTGCCATTGTGCCTCCTCTTTGGAATGTTTCTTATTTCTTCATCCATAAAGACTATCCAACTGAAATTTCCATTTACCAGGCAGGCTGCTGTTTCCAGGAGCCTGCTTCCAAGGTGGAGGCAGAGAAATGGAGCCGCTCTGAGGACTGGAACTTCAGAAGAAATTGTTCCCTGTGATGGTGGTGAGGCCCTGGCACAGATTCCCAGAGAAGCTGTGGCTGCTCCTGGATCCCTGGAAGTGCCCAAAGCCAGGTTGGGCAGGATTTGAAGCAATTTGGGACAGTGGAAGGTGTCCCTGCCATGGCAGGGAGTGGAACTGGGTGGGCTTTGAGGTCCCTTGCAACCCAGACCATTTCAGGATTTGATGAACTGCTGGAGCTGCTATTGTTCACCCTCTCCTGGTGCTCTCCCATATTCCCATGTTAGGAAGACAATCCAAATGTAATTTGAAGCTTGCTCTATAGCTAGCAGACACTTCTGCCCCTCCTGCTGCTGCAGCTCTGTTAACAATGGATTCCTTATTTTTAACTTGGGCAATACCAAAATTTGACATTGTTGAGTTTTAAGTGATTTACATCTTGCTGTGCTGAATAGCTGAGAGTTTTGTCACATCCTCCCATCCAGGCATTCATTCAGCACCAGGAATGAGACACTGAAAGTTCTCAGATGTAGAATGCCTGAAACTGCAGTAGAACAAATGTTTGGATATAAGGCCTAGAACTATTCCTACAGAACAGCTCTACAACTTTTTAACTGTGCCCTCTTCTTTGGAGTGGGGAGACAGGTCCTGGAAAATCATTTGATTGAATAATGTTAAGAACTGCTTTTAGGCTCCAGTCTGGTAAACAGCCTATCAGGCTTCTGAACACCTGGCAGCATTTTATGTCTTCTGGCATTAGGTGCTCTCTGGTTATTTACTATTCTTTCAAGTAAAATGGAGTTTATATCAAATCCCCACACTTGATAAGTGGTGGATGCCAGCTCAGAGTTGCTTGCAGAGCTCTGCAGTTGTGTTTGTCATGGCCAGGGTGGGTGACAAGCTCCAAAAGGCAAACTCCAGAGCCTCCAGTGTTTGAGCAGATGCAGTTGCTTTGACTGGATTTGTTGGTGTGCAGCTGCTGTGCTCAGTGGAAAGGCTGTGTCAGGAGAGTTGTGTCTGTGAATTCCTCAGCTGAAACCTCCTCAAGCCCACATATCTGAGTCTCTTTCTGTATCATCTGAAATCCAAACAGTTTGCAGCTTCCCATGCTCCAGGGGCAGCCAGTTCTTGTGTGGAAATAATACATGATACCCACTTCCCTGTGCAGAAATTGAGACTTGCTGCCTGCTTTGCTGACTCTTCACATGTCCTATTTCAGTAGATATCTTTTTTGGATTGGCTGTTTTGCCATTTGCAGCTTCAGCACTGTGATAGAGATTTATTCTGATTTTAGAGGACTCATTTGCAAAAGCAGCACAGTTGGAGGGGAGACTCTTTCAGGGATGGAGCCTTTGTGCCGTTCAGTTCCCAATAAATCTTTATTTTTCCCAGCAGAACATACTTGAAATTCTGCTTGTTTTGGCATTGGAGGCCAAGAAAACAAAGCATGTGCTTTTCTCAACTGTATTGTTATAAAGCCCCAGAGCCTGGCAAGCCAGAAAATTCCAGAGGAGATGGGCAGTGCTGCCTCTGGCCAGGCTGTGGGATTCCTGCTGACAGGTGGCTGTTTGTGGTGTGGCTCTGCTTGTGCAGTGATGCTGAAAGGAAAAAAGGCTGTTCAGAGGGAAGAACAGGCAAAACTGAGCAAGGAGAAACGAGGCTGAGGGTTGGTGCCACCTGTCCTGGTGCTGGGCCTGGAGAAATCCCATGTAGATCCTGAATGCTGGAGTTGGAAGCTCAGTTCCCATGGCTCTTGCAGAGGCAGGGAAGGAATGGCCTCACATCATCCCTGGAATGGCCTCACATCATCCCAGTGGTGACAGGGAGATGTGGAATGACAACTGTGCTGTGCCCAAGCCTCTGGGAAGTTCTCTCTTGAATTTGGATTCTCCTTCTCTATTTTGCCCACCCATCTGCATGTTCCTAGGTATTACAAAACACTGAAAGTGCTCCTTGTTGGGAATATTAATTTTGTCTGGAAAGTTGGGTTAGCAGTGGGTTGGCTTCCAGCTTGAAAATGCCTTTCAGCAATAGCTTTTCCATGAAGTCATTATGCCCTAGTGGTTTCACAAAGTCATGGGTGGTGGTGTGCAGTTACCTTAAGCCTCTCTATGTCTTTTGCAATGAAACTGGACTTTTGATTTGGAAGAAGCTGCACTTGGAGCAGCTGTTATCAGGGAAAAGAATCCTTGGCAGAAACCATGACCAGCTGTGTCCTTGGTGTCAGTGTAACACCTGCTTAACTGGTTTCTTGTTAGAAAATCCTTATATAGATCCTGTTCTTAAATTTTTTTTTCTCTAAATACCTCTCAATTCACTGCAGAACATCAGAGCCCACCACATCCTGTGCTGAAAGGGTTAATGGTAATTTTCCCAACAATATCTAACAACTCGTTGCCCTAAAGAAGCCCCCAGCATGCACAGAATTAAGCTGGACTTTTATTTTTCTTTCTACCCATGAACAGGCCAAGGGGGAAATGCACTGCAAGAACTCAATAACTACATTGTAAGTTGAGTTTTCCTTGTAGGTTATATAAATTCCAGCTGGACTTTTAATGAAACTGCTTGTGACTCTGCTTTGGGAGAGGGTGGTGCCTCTCAGGTCCTGCTGGTTGGTGTCTGCTGCTGTTACAAACCCAGCCATGTCTGCAACAGCTTGTAATTTAACAATATTCTTGATTACAGCTGGCCACTGCTCAATCCCCTTTGCAGCCTGAGTGGAGCTGCACATTAAGGATAATGTTTGGCAACAGCAGCTTGTGAATGTGTATTTTTCTCCCTTTTTTTCCAGTGCATGCACATAAGTACCACTGCACTAATGGAGCAAAAAGTGCTCATTCTGTTCTCCACATCAGCAGTGTGTTCCTCCTGATATCACGGGGGTCTGAATGCTGTTGGGATGAGGCTGTTTTGTCTGCTGTGATTAGGTCAGATGTGTGATTTGTTCTCTTTCTGCTAAAGGAATCTGCTAGATATTTTTATCTTTGCTAGGCCATGTGCTCAGTTTTGCTCTGGTTAAGCACAAGTATGCCAGAAATATTCATTTCTGCATAGAAGAGAGGATTTTGCCTGGTTCTGATGGACAGGTTTTTACCCTTTTTCAGAGCAGGTGAACAGTCATAATCCTATTTCTTAGCAGTCTGTACATGAATGTAGCTGCAGATATAAGGTGATGTGGTGAAGGGGGTGGAGGGAAGGTGGAAATTGATGTGACATTAAGTAGCTGAAAGCTGCTGCTCCAATACAAGTTCCCTGAATCCCCTGAGTAGGAAATGTGCTCCCAGGTGAAGTGAGCAGCTCTTTCTTCACTGTTTGAGCAGTGCCTGGGTTAAAAACTTGTTCATGTCTTGCTTTGCTGCATCCCACTTCAGGAGAGGGAGGGAAGCGTTCTGCCACAAACTGAATGCTCTGCTGCCTTCTTCACCTTCCCTTTCAGCAGCGTTCCTTGGCCATCCTTGTTGGATCTACCATGGATTTACTAGGCTGTGTTAATATGGAGGACTAAATAGCAAGCTGCATCAGAAAGCAAATGTATTCATCTGGAGATGTTTCCTCTCTCCAAACCTCCCAGAGCAGCTTGTCCTCCTGATCAGTGAGCTGCTTGTCTTGGTGTCTATGAAAGCTCCTGAAGTCTGTGGGGTTTGTTCAGTGATGTGTCGTGGTCACTAAGGTGTTAGTGACACTTCTGCTTGGGTAACGGTGTGAGAAACCATTTCAGGACTGCTACAAGACCCTATTTCTCAAATTGTTCTAGGTCCTCCAAGTTAGGAAAAGGTAAGAAAAATACATTGCCTTCTTTCAGGATGAATTATTGTACAGCAGGAGTAATCAGCTGATGTGGAATGAAGCTTGAGTTGAGAAGCTGCTGGTTGTGAAACAGGCAGTGACCTTGAGGGGCTGCCCTCACTTGGGGCGCTTCTGTCCTGCTCTCCCATCCGGGTGGGTGAACAGCCTTGTCCTTCAGCCCTGTAGTTTAATTCTTCATTTCCCCTCACCAGGGTGACCTTGTCCTCCACGGACTGTTACATTGTGCACGAGATCTACAACGGGGAGAACGCTCAGGACCAGTTTGAGTACGAGCTGGAGCAGGCGCTGGAGGCGCAGTACAAGTACATCGTGATCGAGCCCACGCGCATCGGGGACGAGACGGCGCGCTGGATCACCGTGGGGAACTGCCTGCACAAAACGGCCGTGCTGGCAGGCACCACCTGCCTCTTCACCCCCCTGGCACTGCCTGTAGATTATTCTCACTACATCTCCCTGCCTGCTGGAGTGCTGAGCGTGGCTTGCTGCACCCTGTACGGGATCTCGTGGCAGTTTGATCCCTGCTGCAAGTACCAGGTGGAGTACGATGCCTATAAACTTTCGCGCCTGCCCCTGCATACGCTCACCTCGTCCACTCCCGTGGTGCTGGTGAGGAAGGACGACCTGCACAGAAAGAGACTGCACAACACGATAGCACTCGCTGCCCTGGTGTACTGTGTAAAGAAGATCTATGAACTCTATGCTGTATGACTTCAGCAGGGAAGAGAGAAACCCACAAAGACAAGTGTATTAAGACTCCCACAGTAACATTTTGTTTTTCCTCTTTGAGAAGCGGTGGAGACTGGGAAGGATTTGGTTTGATAGAGCTGTTATTTTTCAAATAACGTATCACTGGTGCACCAAGGTTTTTCAGCTCTTTGTTACACTTGAGATGTGGATGTGTGGTGACTTGAGATCCGTATGTTAGGCCAGGGGAGTCCAATCCAGCAGCAGAATGTCAGTGAAAGAAAGCAATAGAAAGAAGGGGTGTGAGAGCTGCTTTCTTTTTTTTTTTTTTTCTTTTTTTTTCCTTTTTTTTTTTTTGGGAAACATTTAAGTATATTGTTTAATTGTATTACACAGAACCAGCCAGAAGTTATCATTGACCATTAAAGGATGAGAATTTCAAATGCTCTCGCTCTCTTGTCACTGTTATCAAAGTGATGTCACTTGAAGTGTCCAGGTACAAGCACATTCTGCTCAGTTCATCTCTGAAATGCCTTGGGGGCTGCCAAGATGGGAGTTCACCTGTCCTACCTTTGTGCTGTGCCCTGACCACACAATTCCACTGCTTTTGCCTGGAACACAGGAGCTGCTTGCTCCTGCTGCAAGGCATCCACATGAGTGCACCTTGTTACCTGAAATTTTAGAATTCAGTCCTGTGCATTAATCCATTTTTTAGCTCTAAACTCAAAATCTTGTTCTTAAAGTGGGAAGCATTTACTCTTCTGTGACATCTGCCAGTTATTTTTAAAAGATAGGGGCTTGCTGTCTGTAATCTCCTCCCACCACATGGGGAATAGGTGTGGCCGGCGTTGGCAGGGCCAGCTTGGCACAGCTCCAGGTGTTACATTTGAAATAGGAGAGCAAAGGCCTGCAGTGAGAGCTGCCCGTGCACTGTGTGCTCCCTGCTCCAGTGGGAGCTGCAGCCTGACCTTCACAGCTCAAACACCGACCTTGACAGGGGTCAGGCCCCAAATTCTGCCTTTCTGTCTTTATCTCTCCAAACTGCCACAGCAGGCACCAAGGTCTCCCTGTCCTCACCTCTATGGGTTGTTCTGAGCACGGTTCTGACCTGTGCTGCTCTGCTGGGGCAGTTTTTCTGTGAGCAGGACATACATTTTGTGTGTGTGCTGGGCAGACTGGGATTGCTGGGTGTCCCAGCCCTGAGCACCAGCACAGGCAGCTGTGCCTGACGGGGCTGGAGGAGCTCCAGTGGCACTGAGACATTTCTGGGTGGCAGCAGCCCTTTGTACAGTGCTGAGCTCTCTCCCTCCAAGGTTAAAAGAAGCTGGGATCCAGAGCATCTATTTATAGCAACAATGTACAGTTGTCTTGGCAGAGAGGAGGCAAAGAAACGCAACCACTTCATCTCTCAGTGGTCAGGCCAGGCTGGGCAGGCTGCCCTCCCACCCTGACGTGTTTCCAGAGTCCTGCTGGATGGATTTGAAGCCAGTGGCACATCTGCCACAGCTACTGCTGCCTATTGCTACAGAAGGCCCTGAAATACCTTTGTGCTGGCCACACCAAAGGTGTTCCTGATCTTTTTTCCTCAATGCAGAATTCTCAGAGCTGTTAGTTCCTTTCCTGCATCAGACCTCTGGGGTCCTGGTGCTTTTTTGTGTTAAGCTTCCCCTGGTCTGGAATGATCACTATGGCAGGTTCCTTAAATGCATGGCTGGCATCAGAGACTTGAGTTAAAAATTAGCAAGTTTCCTGGGGTCTCTTATTACAGGAGGAAAGGTGAAAAGTCAGCTTAGCTGTCACAATGGCTAGGTCTGATTGAAAAACACAGCTGTTACTCCATTCTGAGGTGGAGGGGCAGGGGAGCTTGTTTTCCAAGGAATCTCAGTGATAACGTAGCTAAAATGCTTTTTAACATTCTGGTTGTTAGTCAGTCAGGGCTGTAACTGTGCAAGGTGACCTGGGAGAATGAGAGGGGTCTTGAGAGGTATTTTTGTACATGGTGAAAGGGTAAAACAACTTCCAGAAATTCCCATCCATGTGGAGTGATGCTGTATCTGCAGTCCCCAGTGCCAGTAGCTCAGTGGAATCATCAGTGGCTGGGGACAAACCTCCCTTCAGAACCCCCACACTTTGCTGCCCCCCCTGCCTGTTGTGGACGTGCTCTGGAATGTGCAGCATTCCCCTCACCACAGAGAGGGAATTTACCTCCAAAGGGAATGGCTGCACTCTCAGCAACCTCTGCCTCGGAGCTGTAGCTCCCACAGGAACTCCAGGAACTCCCCACACTTCATTTTCCCCTCAGGCCTGATGTGTTTCACCCTCAGTGCCCTGGATGGGAACACAGAAATGCAAAGCAGCCCCTTGGTCCTTCCTGGGCAGCCACGACCTGGAACACCAGAACATGGAGCAGCTGAACAAGCCTGGCAGGAGCACTGCATTTCACCAAGGAACCGAGGAGCTGAGCATGGGAAACACAAAAGGAAAAGCACAACTAACACCAACACTCCCCTTGTGGAGAGGCACAGAAGGTAATGCCTTGCTTTCCTCTCTTAACAGGAAAAAAGGTGTCTACACCTGAAAGCTTCACCTTGTCAGTCCAAGCCCAGGCCTTTCTGTGACACAGGGAAGGTGGCAGAGGATGGATGACCTGACAGAGCAGCAGCATGGTCACCATTAAACACATCCTGGTTCTCAGAGGTCGTTTATAAATCTGTAGTGGTTAAGAAGAGGCTTTTGGAAGCAGAAGGTCCTGCTGAGCCTGCACACCCATATCAGAGTTTGTGTGACTAATCCTCTGTCTGGATTCACACTGTGCAAGCTAACAGGTCCATAAAGAGGGCTGGGATAAAGCATGTTGTTCTGCAGCTACTACTGGTACAATAGCACCTTGCAGGGGTGTAAGGAAAAACAAAACCCTCCTGCTTTCCCTTCGTCTTATGTGCTGTGAGGAGCTGGAGTAGACCAAGGGATTCATTTCATAGCAATGTAATTTATTTGTCATCAGATGTGCACTCCCAGGCAGGACACATGGAAAATGCTGGCAAGTGCATGGAGGGGCAGGAGAGGTCTGAACCTTGGTTCCTACTAGTAGAGTTTATTTCAATTTTAAGATTATTTCTGTCCTCTATCTGTGCAGCAATTCCTTTTTCCTAATGGTGCCGGTATCCCTCACATGAGGAGAAGGGCTGAGGAATGGAACACAGCACCCTTCAGGCTGTCAGGCTCCCTGAAGTGATACCTGAACAGGCAGGTATCATTCCCCAATGGATGTGATCCTAATTAGCATCTGTGATTGCTTTAAAGCAGATGAGAACAAAGGGTCTGTCTGCTACACTCTGCACTTTACACACATGGATTCTTCTCTAGTGCCAGAGAGTGCCTGGCATCCACAGGATCACACCTGCTCTGTGCTGCAGGTGGCCCAGGTGTGCTGCTGTCACCTGTGCAGTGTGTCCTGGCAGCAGCTGCCTTGCTGTGCTGTTCTACCTGTTCAGTGCTTCCCTGCATTCCTTGGGCTGGGATCCACAGAGCTGTCACTGCAGAATGAACTGTCCCAGTCCATCAGCAGGGCATGATTCAGACAGGTAAAATGATGCCAAATACACCCAAATTGTACATCAGTTACTTCTTTAAAAGTGGCACTGGACTGAGCTTAATTTATCAGCTGACTTGGCACGTTAACAGGAAGAGCTGTGAAGTTTCCCACTGCAAGCAGCATGTCCTGGATCAGACTGGAAGGAGTGGGAATGAGACACTGATCACGAGAGCTCCCAGCTGAGGACTGTATTTCACAGGGGTGGGGACAGCCAAGGGCTGCTCGTGTGAAGGCAGAACAGGTGGGTTTTATTTGTAGCAGGCCAGTAAAGCTGAGCATGCCTGCAGTGAGGTGAGGAGTCTCCCAGCCAGGGCCTCCCCAGCTGCAGTGTTCCCCTGAGCCCTCCCCTGCACCTCAGCTCTCCCCCATTGTCCAAGCACCTTTTTCTCCAGCTGAGGTTTAGGTGCTGTCTTCCAGCAGTGTGGGGGAAACCACTTCCCAGTCTCCATGCAATGGTAAACAGCTTTTTGAGGAAGGGTTTTCCTGCAGGAGCACCTCCAGTGATGTCCCAGCCGACTGCAGGGGCTCAGCCTCTCCCTGCTCAGGCCAGCTGAGCTCTAAGAGCCCTTTGCTTTTCTCTCCTTTTTTGCTCTAGATGCCATTAAGGTGAAGAACAGCCTGGGGCAGAGGTTCCTCAGGTAGACAGCCAGGCAGGGGGTCAGGCCAGCCACAAGCACTTCCTTCTTCTTCTGTCCCACTGCATTGAGAACCACCTGAGCCACCTCGGCCGCCGTCTGTCCCTCGGCCGTGGTCTTGTCCATAACTGCCAAGGGAAAGCTGAGTGAGCACCAGCAGCAGCAGCAGCAGGTAAACCCCACTGAGCACCTTTCCTAGGAGTGCTCTAACTGCACATGGCTGCTTGCTCTGGCTCTCACTCCAGCTGGGTATGGGAGCACAGGCAGCTGTTGCTCATGGCTGGCCCTGAAGGCAATAGTTGCTGTCTGGAAAGGTTCAATTTTGGGGCTTGCTGTTCCTACCCTACATCCAGAGGTGGTTTTTGATCCTTCAGGGCTAACCTGTGGCCCCACCAGAGGCCATGTGTTGCAAACACACCTTATGATGACATGGAGATGCTTTAGAAAGGGCAGTGAGGGGTATCTCACCTCCATAGCGAGATCCATCCGCTGTGACAGCGTTGAGGGACAGGTTGGTCTGGATGTAGCCAGGGCTCACAACTGTCACTTCAATGTCATACTGCTCCACCTCTGCTCGCAGACAGTCAAAGAAGGCCTGGGTAGCGTGCTTAGAGGCAGCATCTGGAAAACAGGACAAGGACTGTGCACCAAGGAGAGGAGCAGGCTGGAGGAATTTTCACTTTCTGAATGGGATTTTCACTACAATGCAGCCACTCCTCAGCAAGAGCTGCTCTCCAGCCTCTGCCTTTGTTTTTGTTTAGTGAATAGCAGCAACAGGTAGTGGGAGTCAGAGGCAATTTAGGAAGACAGAATGTAAACTCAAGTTCAAAACTGGCTGGGATCCTGAGCTTAATATCACAGCCCTGCCAGAGCACTCCAGAGTGAGCCCAAGCTGCCTCCCAGTCCTGATAAAGGAGACCCAAAGCCTCTGGAAGGCACAGCTGGCTGCCCTGCACGTGCTGAGCACCAGGGACTTGCAGAGCAGGTTCAGGGCTTGGCTGCACAAAGGAAGAGCAGATGACACAGGCAGGCACAGCAGGGAAGCGTGGCCTAGGGCAGGATTTTCCCCCATGAAATGATGGCTGAGTGACTCCTTGTGCTTGGTCACTGCCTGTGGCTGCCCCCACCACACCAGCAGCACCAGAGCCAGCTCAGCAAGGGCTGAGGGCCCTGCAGTGATCCAGGCAAGGGCTGAGCTCCTGCTGCCACATCCACA